AGAGAGAGAGAGAGAGAGAGAGAGAGAGAGAGAGAATAGTTCAGCGAGCGGCCCCTCTAGGGACAAGGAATGGGTACGGATTTCTGAAGGGCACAGAGGGAGGAAGACAAGCTCTGACCCCCACCCGCCAATCCTGGGGCCCACAGGTGGCTTTGGGGGTGTCTGCTGTTCCCTCCATTGCAGCCTCCTCCCTCTCCTTGTCCACACAGAGTGACTTCTCCCCGTCCTTTTCCCATTCAGTCCTCACCACCTGTCACCCAGCCAGCGCAAGAGCCAACCATGAACCCCAAGGCCCAGCTCCCCACTCCCCCCGCCCCAGCTGGACGGGACTCACGGGATGCCGATCTCGAACAGGTTGTTCTGGATGAGCTGCTTCCCCAGCATAATGATGCTGAGCTGGATGCAGAGCTCCATGAGGCAGCCCCCTGGGGCACACTGCAGAGAGAGCTGTGTGAGCCCCGCTCCTGGGGGACACTGGAGAGGTGAGAGCGCACCCCCGAGCAGCGAGGGTGACCATCAAGCTGGGGACTGACTTGGGTCCCCCCAAAAGACAAGTCCTAATCCCTGGATCTGTGAAGGGGGCTTTACTGGGAGAAAGGGTCATTGCAGTTGTAAATCAAGATGAGGCCATCCTGGGGTAGGTGGCTCTAATCCTGCCACTGGCGTCCTCATAAGAAAAGACACAGAAAGAAGGAAGAGGCGGACTGGAATGATTGTGAAGGATCCTAAGCACCCCATGTGCTGGACAAAGCAAGGAAAGACCCTCCCCTACACCCTCCAGAGGGAGCACAGCCTGTCTCATACTTGTCTTATACCCTGGCCACTCACCCACAGGCTGCATAGCGGGGCAGGTCTGGCCGTGCAGCTGGAAGCCACACAGTGAGGCAGCCCGGCCCTCAGTGGGATTGTAGCTCTTCAGGGCAGGACTGGCTGCAGGAGATGGTGAGATGCCTCTGTGGGCAGGAAGCTTAACTTGCCCAAGTGATAGAAAGTCTGGTGGCCTTGAAGGCACAGTGACATTTCTCTGAGACCCCAGCAAACCCTGTTATACCATTACCAAAACACTTGTCTTGGAGAGCCATTATTTCATAAAAAAAGATTATGACCTTTGTTTTAGTCTATTCTACAAAGGCTTTTCTCCTACTTCTGTAATGGCAGAGTCTGACAGTGTGTCACATATGTAAGAAATGTCGTGCAAAAAGTAAGAAATACTATATAGGCTTTATACAAATATCACAACCCTGGAGGAGCCCCAGGACGTCCATGGCCTACATTCAGGCCTCTGAACTTCTGGGCTAGAGTTGAGAAGGCCAGATTGCCCCACACCTGATGCCCACCCTAGCCCTTTATCCCATTTCACAGTGAAAATGTGTGCTGGTTCCCTTGAGGCCTGGACCTGGACCCAGGCTGGTCTGATGGAGCCACCAGTCATGGGACAAATGCAGTGGAGCCCGTCCATGGGCCATGACTCAGAGGCAGGCAGCGGCTGGCGCCAGACCCTCTGTGGCCAGAATTGTGGGGCAGAAGCCAAATGTTGCCAGCATCAAGTCTGAGGATAGAGAGGTGGGCGTTGCAAAGTTGGAAGTAAAAAAAAAAAAAAAATATAGCCGAGGTCTGTTTTTCCTCATTAACTCATTTTAACCAGAGATGGAAATACTCAAAGGCTCACCAGAAAAAGAAACAAAAGACAAAGTGTGTGTAATTTTCTTTCTTTAACCCTGAGGAGAGTTTGTCTTTTTAGGGTGCTTCCCTGTGGACATGCCAAGTAAGACCAAAACCAACCCACCAGGTGGAGAAAAGCACAGATTCTGTCCCAGGAGAGGAAAGGCTGCTACAGCCTAGCAAACAGGCATCCATGCTGTTCCCCAGATCCTGGTGTGGACCCGTGGGGGAGCCAAGCAGAAGGGGCTGCTGTAAACTACCAGCCTCGGTTACCTCTTCCATTCGGAACGAGCGGAAGATGTACACGTAGTCGCCTGGGCGTCCCACGAAGCTGAAACAAATGTGAAAGTCATTAATGGAACCAGGTTTTGCTCCACCCGAAGAACATGATTCCACCCAAGGGTGCTCTGTGCTGGGCTGCGGCACCAAAGTCTGAGCCGAGTCTGTATTCACAGGCACCTCCCGCCTGATCGCCTCTGCTAGGACAGTGCGGGTGGCCACCCCGCTTACACCCGGAGGCCCCGGCTCTCTTGGCTCAATCCTTATCTGTAATTGGAGAAGCCAGGTTGCTGTGAGTGAGGGTCACTGCCCGGATGGGGGTACTGCTGCCTGGCATCCTTGCTGCCTGGGGTCCCCGAGGCTTGGCTCTGTATTTCTTGGGGTTCATGCTCCTCAAAGATCTGGCTACCTGAAGTCTCCACTTCTTGGGGTGCCCACTGCCCAGGAGTCCTGCCGTTCTGCCACCCAAAGCAGGAGCCAGGACTTCTCCAAGGGTTGCAGCTGAGGGAGCTAGCCTGCCTGTTCTGCCTGCTTCTGGGCCTCCCATTTGGAGGGGAAGGCTAGAGGGGAGCTGTGAACCAGATGGGGCAGAACAGGTTGAGCAAAGGCTGAAGTCCCTACCGGCCTTTGAAGAAAGCCACGTAGAAGATGGGTGTGTAGGAGTTCACGAACTTCAGCAGGAAAGCCTTGAAGATCAGTCTCTCCTCAAAGCTCTTCTCAGTCTTCGGGACCTCTGGGGGGCAGGATGAAGTGAACCTGCTGCAGTCACCCCTTCTGCTTGCAGCCGGCTCACAGATGGGGACCTTGGGCAGCACTGCCGGGCAGGACCCGGGACAGGGGCACTCACCGATCTTGGTGAGCCACCTGGCGATGCAGCCGTAGACCTCATCCAAGAGGATGATGACCACCAGGTTGATGATGACCGCGGTGGCTGTGACTGTGACCCGGATGTTGGACCTCACGGATGGGGAGGAGTTCATGGCCAATGCGGCGGCCATGGAGATTCTGTAGATGATGACACCGAGGACGATGGCGAACGTCACCGCAATCTGTGGAAGGGGCAGGGAGGCATTGGCAAGGGGCCCAGCTCTCCTCACCTTCCAGCTCTTCTGTGTCAGAACCGAGACTGACATTTCTCCTGCTCCCCCAGGGGCCAGGGCTTTGTGTGTTAACCCACTGCAGGCAGAGGGAAGTGGTGCCTTGTTTGATACGAGAGGGCCCTACAGACCAGAGACAGGTTGTGTAGCCAGGACTGGACACCTGCTCAGGAGCTGAGCTCTATAGTGGGTCTGCTGGTGCCTGAAGTTCACCAGATCCTTCTGTCTTGGGGCCCAAAACATAGCATGACCAGAACCTCAGTGACTGTTCTGAAGTGGGGGGTGCTAGCTGCTGCAGGAGGGGTGCTTCTCCCCTGACCTGGGGTAGATGAGCAGAAGCTGGGACAGCCTTGGAGAGTGCTGGCCCAGGTGTGCCGTGCCCAGGGCATTGCCCTATGGTAGAGGTGGCAGCAGGCATCACTGTAGGTCTGGTGGGAGACCGCTGGGTCCTGTCTCCCAGCCTGCCAGGATCCTCCATGGGAGCAACCCGAGGGCTGGTCAAACCCACCATGGATCAGAACTTCCATAAAACAGAGCTGGCTACCCTGACAAGTTTGTTTCATCTACCACAGGTTATCTGTCTGTGTGCCTGGAATTCCTTTTCCTATAGCCCAAATCAAGCAGCAAGACCCAGTCCCTGCCCTGCCCAGGGGTATGGATGCCCACCCTGAGGACTCACTGAGGATTGGGGAGGGCAGGGGCAACTGGGAGGTGCACAAGAGCCGGGCCTCTCGGCCAAGACTGAGCTCCTGCTGCAGTTTGAAGGCTCCTGCCACATGTCCCTGTGTCTTTGGTGCAGACAGTGGGTCCTGTCTCTGCTGAGAAGGCCCCTCACGACTCCCGGGAGAGCCCATGTGCCTCCAGTTATGGCTCGGGATGGATGAGACACACAGGGAGGCTGTGGCCTTTGGGGACCTCCCAAGTAGGCTCTCATTGTACCCTCTGGGCCACCAGTGCTGGCTTCTGCAGACATCTGCCGGTAACTAAACGGTGACCACACCCACCCTGGAAAGCATGTGCAGCCCACACCATGCCCTGGTAGCTGGCTGGGGGGCATGGGTACCGCTTCTGGAGCCAGGGAACCAAGCTTTCCTTGGAGCACCCCTCCGTCCTGCCAGGCAGCCCCACCCTGGCCTCAAAGACATCCCTTGTGCCAGTGAGTGGAGTGGAGATGGGGCACTGGGCTGTGGGGACTCAGCCACAGCAGGCACCCGCCACGTACACTATTTGGGGGCCAGTGTGTGCCAGGATGGGGAGGCCTGGTGCTCCTTTTCTGAAATGAAGGTGCCAGGCCAGGTCTGGCCAACTGTCCACATCAGCGTCCGGAGCACCAGACCACATCTGTTCTGTGAATGGGGCTCTGAGTTGGAGAAAAAGCTGTATCCTCATTCACAGTGAATGTGACTCACAATGCTGTCGAGGATTGGGAAGGAAATGTGGACCAGTCCGTATCCCGCGTTCCTACCATTTGCTCCATTTCCTCACCTTGCAGGGACCATGGTGAGCTACTCTCTCAGCCTCTCTGCAGACTGGGTGGCCAGAGAATGAGTTCTGACCAATGAGATGTAGGCAGGGGCCCCTTCAAAGGGTGGGAACAGCCTCTGCTGCCCATTTTATACCTCACCCCATTGCTTCTCCTTCTTTCTGCCTGGAAAGCAGAGTGATGCTGAACGGGGAGCAGTCACGTTATGACCAAGAGTGGACACAAGGCTAGGATGGACGAGGAGAAGGTCAGAGAAGCCTGCGCCCCTGATAGCATCCTGGAGCTGCCAGACCAGCCCGACCACCCAGCCCCTTCCCGCTGCCTCACCAGTCCTTCTGCCAACAATCCTTTCTGGTCTACCAGGTGCAGCTGGACATGGGGGTTACCTGAGTCTCCCACGCCCTGAGCCCGGCCCCTCAGTGGGGAGGGGTGGGGATGTTGCAGGTGAGGGACCCAGCTAGTCTCTGGTTATCCCCTAGCACAAAAGGGGACACGCATGCTCAGGCTGCGGCTGAACCCACTCCCACCCGAGTCCCCTGGAGAGGTGCCTGGGTCATGCAGTCTCTACTCATCAGTAGATGAATCCAGTGAGCATCACGGCTGAAGGCTGACAGGAGGTGGAGCTCCCTTGGAGATGTGGGTTACTAGGCATGTGTCTCTGGAGGGCACACCTCTCACTCCAGCACTTTCCCCCTCTGCTCTATTTCCTGGCCGATATGAAGTGAGCAGCACTCTTCCTCCAGGCCCTTCGGCTATGATGTTCCTGCTTTGGAGGCGGCCGACCATGGACTGGCTCCTCTGAAACCTGAGCCATTGCAAGTCTGTCCTGGGAGTTGTGGTGTCAGGTACTTACCCCAGTGATGGAAAAACCGAACAACAGAGTACTACAGGCCCCGTCAGCCCCCACCAAGGCTCCCCTTCTCTGGGGCAAAGAGGAAGTGGTCTTAGGTGTCCCCAATCCCCCAATCCCTGAGTGTGGGGAGAAACTGAGTTCTATGCTGGCTTCCATTACTTGGTTAAGAGGCCCTTGGCCCTCCACTCAACCCAAGAAATCCCAGACAACCTCCTGCCTCCTTTCCAAGTTTGCACTGTGCAAGGGATCTTGGAGCAAAATGATGAGCTTGTTCCTGGCTCCGTCACCTGCCGGCTCATGTCCCGGGGAGAGAGGCACAACCTCTAGGTCTCAATTTCTGCATCAGCAGGATGGGGATGGTACTACGACTGGTCAGCTCTGAAGACTGAATGGGACATTCCCAGCAAAGCCCTTGGCACAATGACCAACACAGGGCTCTGGGCATCAGGTGGCTGTACGAGGCTCACTTAATGCTCCCAGGTTGGACAAAATGGGACCACTGGTGGCCCTGATCACTCGAGGGGTGATAGGCACTCAGGTGGTGTGGGGCTGGGCCGAATCAATGTGGGATTGGAGTCTCCTGAGGCAGTCACAAAAGGCTCACTGATTTATTCACATCAGCTGAGCAGACAAGCTCAGAGTCACAGACCTGCATTCCCCCAAGCAGGGTGGCTGTACCTTTTGTCTTGTCTCTGTGTCATTTCTTTAAGGGTTTTCTTAAAGACTCCTCAGTTTGGTTTTACAGGACTCTGTGAAGTCCCAAGTTTGGATACTGGTTACCTAAATGTCACACTCAATGAAACCTGAGTGTCACCTCTGGACCCCAGGAATATGGAGCTCCCAGGGGCTGCTAAGGAATCCTGACCCCATCCCATTCTAGAGGGAGGGCTGGGTCCACGCTGACCCTCCACCAGAGGAACCAGGGCCACCACGTCCTGGAATGAGTGGCAGGCAGCACAGTGTTCCCAGTGGCCCAGTCACAGTGGGTGTGGAGCCCTCCTTGTGGGCATCCCTCATCCCCTTCTGCTGCTACCCTCCGGAACTCACCATGAAGATGATGGAGACCAGGTTGGTGAGATATGCAGGGAACCGGTCTTTCCAGGTGAGCTTCACCTTATCTGTCTGCAACATGGAATGGTCAGGTCACTCTCTGGGAAGCACCAGGGGACAGACGTGCACACACACACACAGATGACTTGGACAACAGAGACACTTGGGAAACCTTAAAAGGGGCGATGAGCGGGTGCAAATTCCCGGTGTTCACAGAGGCACACGGGAGCTTATTTCCTATGTAGTGATGCTTTCTGTGGACAGGGGTTCAGGACCTCACTTCCTCCATGTGCTGGGGTAAGCTGCCAACGCCACTAAGAACTGGGAGTCCTATGTCTGGGAGCAGCCAGCAATTGAAACCAACTTCTACTGCTGCAGGGCTCCCTTCGAGGGCCACAGGGTCCAAATGATTAACCATGACAACCCAGACTATGATAGTTATTTTTCTTTTGCTGAACAAGTTGAAACAAGCCGTAGCATTACAAGTGAAAATGTTGATCCCTGCATAGTAACAGGAACTGTAGGGACATGTGGCTTGGGAAGGCTCTCGGGGCAGGGGGCAGCTTGGGCTTCAGGAACCTCAGGGAGAAGCCGATCACGGGCCCAGATATTTCGAGTGGGGCTGGGCTTTTCAACAGGAAAACCCGCGTGTGGACCACGGAATGCCGGCACGGACTCTTTCGGGGCGGGCGCGTGAGTGTTAGCAGGGACACCACGAAGTGCTCATGGGCAGCCGTCACGAGGACAGCTCAGGAGCCCCAGTGAACCAGAGCTCCCTCAACATGGGGCCCACCACGGCCATGCAGCGACACTGACACAGGCAGGGCTCACAGGGCGTGGCGGGAAGTGAGGGGTGCGGGTGTGAGTGTTAGAACACAGGGTAGAGGCAGGACCACAAGGACTGGGGGGTCTGCACATGGTCAGGATGCGCGCTGCCCCAGACACGAAAGTACCAATTTCACCCCCGCCATGGCGCTCTTAACCCTCTGCTTCCACTTGTTTGTTGACTCCTCCGGAACATGCAGGCGCTTCTGAGGGCAGGTAGGGAAAAGAGGCTGAGGCAGGACGAGGCACACTACTGACCTTGGGCCAGGCTGCGGGCCTTGGAGCACATGCTCTCATAGGGCCAATTCCAGTTCTGGGTGTTTTAAACAAGTAAGAGGTGGGAAGAGACCCACATTCTAAAAGCGAGGCTGCAAGGGAAGTCATGGCAACGGAGGTGGAAGATTCTGGAACACAGACTTCAGCCTGCCCTCTACTCTGGGCTTGCTGGGATCCATCTCAAGAGATGGCAGCTGCAATTTTAGTGGTTCAGACTGTGAGGAGATGGGGGGCCCGTCACCATGAGCATCTCAGAAAGGCAAGATGGAGCCACACCCAGAAGCCCAAATTACCATGCCAAGGACATGGTGCATCTTTTTGCCATAGCTGGGGAGAAAGATCCAAACCAGAGAAGCAGCAGCCAGAAGCCACATGAAATGGAGTAGGAAATGAGGGGTGTGGCCCTCGGGAAACCTGGCATCATGATCAGGGGCCTGAAGAAATAAGCCTGACACCTATGTGGCTCCCTGCACTCAAGAGCTCGAGTTGAAACCAAGCCCTGGGCTGAGGGGCAGCTGCAGCACCGCAGACTCCAGCTTGCCGTTGCTGCTCGCTGAGGCCTCTTGCCTTGAATGGGTGTGGTGGCCACAAGCCTTTTTCCCCTTGGGAAGGAATGAAATACCCATCTGAGCTCACCCTAAGGACAACCGCAGAGCCATGGGGCGACTGTCCCAGGAGCCTTACGCCAGCTCCTGAGACATCTCAACCCAGACTCGGCACTGGGGACACTGCCCACGGGCCCACAGTGGTAGGCCGTATACAAATGGCAACACCTGCAGTGTGATGGGTTGAACTGGAGAGAAAGCCTCTTTATTTTAGGGTGATAGTTCCGGCTTGCGCACGCTTGAAGGGTGCCCTGAGGGAGGGAACTTCCTTCCAGATGCGGGAGACCTGGGCCACACCTGGTGCTTGCTGTTACAGGAGCTGAGAGTACCCACCTTTGCCCCCAGATGGGACTCTGTTCACTGTGACCTCCGGCCACAGGGTACCAGTGAGTTCTGCACACATGACATAATGACAAGGAAAGAGAAACTCAGGGGCGTGTCCTGGCCAGTGCCAGAGGCGGACTGGGCAGTCTGGGAGCCAGAAGAGCATTTTCCAACCATTCTCCATTCTCCATAAGAGCCAGGGAGAACTCCTCCAGCCTCGGTGAGAGGTGCATAAAGCCCAGGAGCTGCTGGTTTGTCCCAGATCACGTGAAAACCCAGCATTAAAAATAGCTACATGCTCTCGAGGTTTGTGAGGATTCAGGCTATGCACATAAGGCTTTGGTTCGGATGAGAGGTTTGGGACAGAGAAGGGGATTCCTTATAAAAACAGGGTGGCCTCAAGTGCATCACAAAAAGCACACTTCTTTCTCTCATTCTCACAGTCTGTGAGGGAAACAGAGACCCTGGCTCACAAATGCTTCCATCTCTTTGTTTAATGCAGAACACAGGGGTGGTGGTATCGATGCTAAGTGTACCACAAAAAAATAGTTTTACACCTTGAGGTTCATTTGTTGAAGTGTGTGCTGAGGCCTGAGACTGCCCACAGGATACATCCGGAGGAAGACAGATCTACATCTGGCTATATCTATATCTGCTTTGGCATCTCCAGCCAAATCTGTCCCCTTCCTGTTTTTGTAAATAAAGTTTTATTGGAACATAGCTAGGCGTGTTTGTTTACCAGTCCTCGATGGCCACTTTCACTTCCCAATGTAGAGTTGAGTAGTTGCAGTATAGGCATAAAGAACCTAAAATATTTACTATCTAGGCCGACCCTGATCTACACCTGATGAACACAGTGTTTGCTGATCCCAGTCTATGCGTGAACACTTGGCACTTTACTGCTGGCAAAACTAGTTGGCAGTGATCCCCGTACCTCTTTGTTTTTGGATTCTTTCCTCAGTGACTTCTCCAAGACTCTGGCTTCGTATTCGGCTCTGGGATGATCCTGTGAAAGAAACTGAGTCAGCGGGGTCCTGCCCATAGTGGCTGTGAAATCCTCCGAATGGGTACATGGCAACCAGCCCATGTATGTGCTGCGCGTTCCTTCAGGGCCAGTTCATGGCGGACTGATTGCCACATTTCCAATTCTGAGGTCTCTGTGTTTGGCCTGGACTTGGGCCCAGCACACTCCCCTTGGGACCCCAGCCCAACAGACAGCCACAGGGCCTGGCTTTGGGGTCCTCAGAGGACGAGGCTGTGCCGGGCTGCAGTGAGGTCCAGCCGTGAACTGGCCCGAGGGCAGGCTGTGGAAGCCAGGGAGGAGGGGAGGGGAGACGCAGTGGTGCAGCAAGCGTGGGCAGGCCAGAAGTGCCAGGCCCCGGGGAGCCCAGAGCGAGGCGCTGGAACGGAAGAAGGGGTTAGAGGAGGGGAGAAGCAGACACCCTGGCCAGGGAGAGCCGTGAGGAGCTGCGGGGTGGAAACAGATGGGTTAGGTGCGGCAGAGGTCCCGGTTCTGGGAGATAGGCTGTAGGAGGACAGAGGAGTGACAAAAAGTTCCAAACCTTGACTGCTTCCTTCGGGGAACCAGAAAAGAAAAAACAAAAACAAAAAGATTTCATTAATCATTGTGTTTTTCAGACATGGGGCGCATCCTCTAAAGACTGTTTTCTTAAAAACCAGGATGGATATGGTGACAAGGAGGGGAGGGTGACGGTGGGGACCCAGAGTCTGTTAAAAGTCACTGCGACTTCAGATGACTCTACAGGCCATTGGTTTTGCAGTGGCCAAGTTTTTGCTATTTTCCAGGTGAGAGCCAGGCTGAGCCCACCTTCCTTCTGCTTTGTGTGACAAAACCTGGGGTCATACCATGTGGGGAGGCATGGGGCTCACTGTGGGGACCTCGTGCCAACCACCTGGGATTGTTTGTCCGATGGTCCCTGTCATGATTTCTGGATATATTAGTTTTTCTCCCCAGTACCAGGAATTGAACTCGGGACCTTGTGCTTGCCAGACAGGTGTGGCACCAATGAGCTGCATCCCCAGCCCTACTAATTTGATGCCTAAAACAAGAAGACTATGGCTATTCTTGGTTCTCTATGACTCTTTCTTTGTTCTAGGTGAATCTTTTTTTTTTTGGTGCTGGGGACTGAACTCAGGGCTTTAATCATGCCATGTAAGTGCTCTACCACTAAGCTACAGCCCCAGCCCTTTTAATTTTTAAAATTTATTTTGAGACAGATTCTCATGAAGTTACTAAGTTGCCTAGGCTGTGTTTGAACTTGAGATCCTCCTGCCTCAACATCCAGAGTATCTGGGGTTACAGGTGTATGCCACTATACTCAGCCCTCTTTGAATCTTTCTAATTGAAACAGCAACAAGGGAACAGCCGACCCAGGGTATGGTTGACCCAGCCCCTGCCACAGGGACACAGCTCTGGGTTCTGCCCTGGGTCTGCCCCTAAAGAGCTGCGAACCAATCAACAGGCCGAGTCAGCCTCGAGCTGGCTACTGTGAAACAGGATCATGAGACGAGCTGTGGAGGAGAGCGGAGACTGTTACATGGGCAGGTGACAGGTGCAGCCCAGGTGTGGCTAGCTGGGTGGCCCATTATGGGCACTGTCTATGTGCTGAGCCCTGCTCTGTTGACCCAGTGAACCCCTCCCCCATCAAATGAGGATGGCTCCTTAATGCCTGCTTGACAGGCAAGGATCCTGGGGCACAGGGATGTGGAGCAACTTGCCCCAGGTCGCATAGTGAGGGTGGGGTCAAATCGGGAATGGAAGATCTGCAGCCTGGCCTCAGAGGCCGGACTTATACCCTGGAAGGGGCCACAGGGCCTTCCCAGCAAGCTCTGGTGTCTTAACAGTGTTGTCACAATGGAGCGGGCACGCAGCTTCCCCAGCAGAGCCACACATCTGGACGTGACTGACTGGCTCCTTGGCCCGGGAGGGAGATGCTGTGTGAGCAGACACAAACACCTGAGAAAAGCATGGAGATGTGGCCTGCGTCATGGCAGGACTCAGGAGAGCCTGTTAAGAAGCGAGTGTATTTTGTACATTAAGTCAGCACAGCCACACCATACACATGTGTGCAGGTCACTCTGGTGCTCTGGGCCAAGGCTATTTTTGGGGACCATATTCCTTTTCTTCCTTCTTTCCCTCCTCACCTTTCTTCCTTTCTGATCCTTGGGATTGAACCCAGGGTCTTTGCACTGAGCTATATCCCTAGCTCTTTTTATTTTTTTAAATTTTGAGGTAGGGTCTAAGTCACTAAGTTGCCCAGGTTGAGTTCGAATTCACAATCCTCCTGCCTTGGCCTCCCAGTGTGCTGGGATTACAGCCACCCATTATAACAGAGACTAGCCTAAGATAAAAGAAAATAGCCCACCAGGTTAAGAGCTAGTTCAAGAAGCTAGTTGAGCTTAAAATTATAAAACACAACCCAAGAACAAAAGAGAAAAGTTAAAATGAGAGGGGGAGATAAAGACCTATCTTTTCTTGGATATCCACTAAGAGATTTGGTCTCACTCTTTCCAAGAAACACTTCCCCAATTTCCTCCCTTTGTCTGTGATTTTATTCAACTTAGTGAGACAGAAACTCAGATTTATATAAAACTGTTTCACCACCACCACACTGGTTCTTTCTTCTCCCTTTGTCCACTGTCTCATCCCTCCCACTGTCTTTTTCTGTGTCCCCACCACTTCTTCCGGTACTGGACATTTAACCCAGGGACACATTATCTCTGAGTGGTACAGACAAAGTCTCACCAAATCATTAAGCTGCCCACCCTGAGCTCAGATTTATAATCCTCCTGCCTCAGCCTCCAGAGTGGCTGGGATTACAGACCTGTACCAGCACCTTCTTTTCTTTTCCACTCACCCTGTAGGCAATTCCTGTTGGATCTGGCAATTAGGGGAATCTGAGTGGTTCCCCTCACATCCCAGTGTTCTCTGGCTGCTGAGCACCCCTTCTTTTGGAACATGACTGGTTCCGTTCTGCTAGTTAATGATCTGTCCCCTACATGAGCCATGGCGAACTGCAGCTGGCTCCCAGGTGAGCACTCCCGGCCACCTTTGGGGACCCATGGGCAGCGGCAATTGCCTCTCACACACGACAGTTCTCAGATGCAGTGTGGTCAGTATGGTGAGCCTTGGCATCCATCCCAGACCAGGTGGCATGTCCATGTGAGCACTGAGATCAAAAGGACTCTGGGGGCCAGGGGCCAGCCACCCTACCAATGGGGGCATCCCAAAGAGCAGAGCTGGCAGCAGTGGCCTTGCCTCAGACCAGGGGTGTTTAAGACCTCAGGCCTCCACATGAGACCTGAACAGGTAGTGGGGCAGGGGGCACCTGGGGAGGGCACCAAAGCCACTCACCTCCTCCTCCTCAAAGCCCGTGAGGTCCCAGTGATAATTGAGCCGCATCTGTTTCCGCTTCCAGTGCTCCATGAAGGTGGCAGCTGTGGGTGGGAGGAAAACCAGTTGGGGGCAGCTGGATGATATCACAACATCCTTTCTTTTGGCACCACCAGGTGAGGAAGGGCCAGGATCTCCATATGCATCAACTATTCAGCCCTCTATAGACCCCACTAGGTAGGACCACCACTCTCCTATTTCACAGATGAGGGAACTGAGGCATGGGGCCATCAAGCCCAGGCCATGTCAGCAGGAGGTGGGGTAGGCGGACCTCAGGGCCTCGACTACTGTGTGCCATTGCTTTTTAGGAAGCCCAGGTCACAGGGGAGATCTTGAAGCCAGCAGGCTGAGGCTAGGCCAGGGCCATCCACTAAAGCTGTGAGTCTACACAGGGGTCTGCATGCCCTTGTGCCATCCTGCTTTGTGTTCCCAATAGACAAAATGGCTCAACGCCACCTACTCCACCTTCTGGCTTAAATATAAAGCGTCCTTCAAAAACTCATGCATTGAGGGCTTGATCCCCAATGCAGCCTTTTCAGAAGTGCAGCCTCATAAGCGCAAGGTCCCAAGTTTGATCTCTGGTAAAAAAAAAAAAAAAAAAAAAAAAA